CCACCTCCAAGTACTAAGACTTGAGGGAGGGGGATTCAGTCTCAACATAGAAATTTTGGAGGGACACAAACCTATACAAATATTATTCAGCCATAAAAATAAAGTTCTGACTCAGGCTGTAACATGGATGAATCTTGAGAACGTCATGCCAAGTGAAAGAAGCCAGACACAGAAAAGGCTGTGTATTGTATGATTCTAGTGTTATGACATGTCTGGACTAGGCAAGTCCAGATTAGCGGCTGCCAGGAGATGGGGGAAAGGGGAATTCAGAGTGACAGTTAAGGGCTATGGGGTTTCTTTTTGGGGTGATGAAAACATTCTGAAAGTAGATAGTGGTGATGATTGCACACTGAATTGTGTATTTTTAAAAGGGTGAATTTTATGGTATGTGAATTATGTTTCAATAAAGCTGTTTAAATTTTTATTTTAAAGAGTAGATATAGGAAAAGAAAAACATCTTTTGTCCTAAACAATGTGTTTAAGAAATTATAGATCAAGGGAGATTGAAAAGTAGCAGACTCTAGAGGTTCTTGTCACAAGAGAATAAAACTGGTCCAAAACAGATGACTGTAAAATAATATTCATGCCTGACCAAAGGTTAAAACAACATGATTCTTCCTTTCCCATGCTGTGCACCACCTATTCTTACTGGGGCTTTGGAATGGAAGGGAAGGTAGCTGTGAGAGTGTTTTGTGGGTTTTTAAGATGTTCTAAATTCAGTTACTTTGAAATTACTGAATCTTCACCTAGAAATTTTTATTATTTTGTTAATCCTTACCCGGGGACATTTTTTCCATTGATTTCTTTTATTTATTTATTTTCTTTTTTTTCTTTTTTTAGAGAGAGAATAAAAGGAAGGGAGGGATGGAGGGGGAGAGAGAAACATCCATGTGTGAGAGACACATCGATTGGTTGCCTCCTGCACCGGGCCAGGTCGACAGGGGATAGATCCAACTTGCAACCCTTTGGTGCTGGGCTAATGCTCTAACCACTTAGCACACTGGCCAGGACTCTTTGACTAGAACTTTAAAAATAAAAAAGCCTTAGCAACAGATTTAGTGAAAAAATTTAATCTAATAATGTCACCCTACAGCTAAATGAGAAAATGAACAAAAATATTCCAAAAACACGTTAGAGAGGACCTATTAAATCAGGGACAAGTTAACACCACACTCCAATTCCTAGGTGCTGGGGGCTCTATGGAAAAGTTAGGCACTCTGTCAGCCTGACACATGGGCAGGGAACTGTCATAAGTTGTCAGTTTGAAGGTTCTGGCCTGCACAGTCTCGACTGCTGTCAAAATGTCACTTTTAAGGGTTGTTTTTTGAACAATGCAAGAATACAACATTGAAGAAGAAAAAAAGAATGCAACATTGCAGCCCTAGCTGGTTTGGCTCATTGGACAGAGCCTCGGCCAGTGAACTGAAGGGCCTTGGGTTCGATTCCGGACAAGGGCATGTACCCCGGTTGCAGGCTCAATTCCCAGCCCAGGTTGGAGCACCTGCAGGAGGCAACCCATCGATGTCTCTCTCACATCAATGTTTCTCTCTCGGCCTCTCCCCCTCCCTTTCACTCTCTCTAAAAAAATGAATGGAAAATAACCCGGGTGAGGATTAACAACAACAAAAAGAATACAGCATTGCATAAAATCATTCCCACCACTTTTGAATCCATATCCCTGAAGCTCTGTATTTTATAACAAATCAATATCCTGAATTTCATTTATAAAAAGACACAACATTTCTTCAATTACCTCTGCTCTTACCAAATGAAGACCACAGAAAAAGCAAGGTCTATACAAAAGCATAATGATCTAAAACCTCAATTAACCAGAACATGGGAGCTACACTCTGGGTGACTTCCAGGGTAATCAGATCTCCTACTTTGTTTTTAACTCTCATCAATAAAAACCCTACCTAAAAATTGCATTTCCTGTCTTAAAAAGCAATAATAAAAATAATCCAATCCTTTTTCGTGTCCTAAAATTTTAACATCCCTCAGGTTCCTCATTTTAAACATGAAAAGTTGGTTTAATAAACCTAACCAAGTCCTGAAAGTACTGTCATGGAATTATAGGATTTTATAATTTCAATGTAAAAAAATAATGTTATCATATTTCATAACTATTTCACGTATTGGTCATATTCCTATCTAAAACTGAAGTGTTGTTTTAGCTCAAAAATCAAATAGTACTGACACTGAAAATGTATGATATAAACTCCTAAAACTTCCCTTTGAAAATGAGTTCCTATGAAACTGCTTGGTTTTATGCTTCTTCTCCTTAAAGTAGTATGTAGCCAAGGGTAAACTCTAGTTAACAAGATTCCAGTTAATCAGTTACAGCTCTTAAATTGGAATACATTCAGAATTATTATTAATATCTAATTATTTTTTCAGCATTATACGTTTCCTATGTGAATAAATGATATTTAGCAATAAAAATGCTAGGTTAAGCATAATATTGAAGTCTATATTCAAATGACTTTTTCCTCAAAGCTCCTTCTGAAGAACAAGGTAACAAATTAAGGAACCATTTTCTAAAAAGGCTGAGAATTACAGCATGTGGTTTTTTAAAAAATGGACTCAAAGTGGTAGCCACAGAGCTCCCGCCTTCAAAAGCTGCTACAGATTTTTTTGATCTAATATCCCCAACACTACAATCAACAGAAGGGTCCTTGAAAAATGATCTACTGATGAATTCTGATATCCATGTTGCAGAATTTCAATTGTAATTTATACTCTATGTCTGTAACGCTTTTTTCAGTATTTAACACTTATCTGTCAGGTAAAAATAACATCCATAAGCAAACAAACCAGACCACCCTCCCTCCCATCGTGGGGCATATGTTCTAATGAGGCAGACAATAAACAGAGTAAGTTAAGTGACAAAGGGCATCAGAGTAAGTGCTGTGAAGAAAAGGGAAAGTGAGCTGGGAAGGGAGGGCTCAGGGGTTTGGGGAGAGAGATAAAATTTCAAATAGTAAGAAGAAACCTCACTGAGAATTCTGCATACAAACAGGAACATAACAGTCAATGTTATTTATTTGGCTTTGAAATGCATTACATGCTTGCATTTGGGTTTTTTTAAATATTCATAGAAGCTTTCTATTTTCTCTATTTCATTTTCTATTTCCTCAAAATTGACTCACTGGAGAGAAGGAAGGCAGCCTACGATATGCCACAGATATTTCTAATATTTTGGTTTACTTGATGTTTTTTGAGAACTATAGCTACGACTAAAGTGAAATTTAGGGTTCTCCATAAAACTAATAGTCAAAATGCAATTTAGATTACAAAACCTAACATCCTCTCCAGCAATTTCTGGGATCTTTGTCCCATTAATATTTATTGGAGGTAGCTCGTGTATGAACAACAGCAGTCTCTAATGTCAGGCTATCTTGCAGCAGTAAAACATTCAGATATTCTTGAAATGATTATCTTTCAAAGTAAACCCACAGAACGTGTCTCCCCGAATTGCATATTTACATAGAAAATATATTTGTAACATTTTTAAATGAAATCGTTTTATCCGCATTTCATGCAATATTCTGGAGACATTTTCTAACTTGCAAGCTGGAAAAAATAAAAAACACAGCAGAATAACTGATGTTTAAATATTTTTACTTTGAAGACTAAGAATTCTTAAGTATTACAAATGCACCAAGAAAAGCTTAGACATAGTTAAGCAAGTTACAAAGGTCTGAAGTCATCTTTCACAAAAGACTTGTTTGTGCGTCAAATGAAGATATTTGATACTGAAATTTACACTGTTTAAGGATCTCAATAACACCAAAGAACTAATTTAACTAGCCCATTTGCAGATTCAATAATGAATAGCAAATGTAGGTGAAAAGACAAAAAAGAAAATATGGGTTTTAACGGGAAATGCCATCACTGACAGTAAACTAAATGCACTTGAACTATTCCCCAAATACCCAACCCAAGCATGTATTTTAAAAATGTGTTTGTCCCAAGAGAAGCAAAACTTTGACATTTTTGCTTGGATATATTCGACTTTCAGACCTCCGCCCCAAATCTGGCAAGAACATTTCAAACTTAGCTTGAGGTAACTTTTAAAGATCAAATTGTGAGCAATTTGATACTAAAATCTGAAGTTGACAGTCAATAGAATGTCACAAATGAAAGAAGCACTCAAAAGTTTATCATCCTCCACGTGAAGAAAGGAATGTGGAACAAAAGATGCTTTCGCCTCTTCTGCCCTTTAGATGAACACCATCGTTCTCTCCGTAGTCATACCGAGGAAGAGAAAATGATCATTTGAAATGGTTTTATCCGCATTTCATGAAATATTCTGGAGACATTTTCTAACTTGCAAGCTAGAAAAAATAACAACCACAGCAGAATAACTGATGTTTAAATATTTTTACTTTGAAGACTAAGAATCTTAAGTATTACAAACGCACCAAGAAAAGCTTAGACATAATTAAGCAAGTTACAAAGGTCTTAAGTCATCTTTCACAAAAGACTTGTTAGTGCGTCAAATGAAGATACTTGATACTGAAATTTACACTGTTTAAGTATCTCAATAACACCAAAGAACTAATTTAACTAGCCCATTTGCAGATTCAATAATGAATAGCAAATGTAGGTGAAAAGACAAAAAAGAAAATATGGGTTTTAACGGGAAATGCCATCACTGACAGTAAACTAAATGCACTTGAACTATTCCCCAAATACCCAACCCAAGCATGTATTTTAAAAATGTGTTTGTCCCAAGAGAAGCAAAACTTTGACATTTTTGCTTGGATATATTCGACTTTCAGACCTCCGCCCCAAATCTGGCAAGAACATTTCAAACTTAGCTTGAGGTAACTTTTAAAGATCAAATTGTGAGCAATTTGATACTAAAATCTGAAGTTGACAGTCAATAGAATGTCACAAATGAAAGAAGCACTCAAAAGTTTATCATCCTCCACGTGAAGAAAGGAATGTGGAACAAAAGATGCTTTCGCCTCTTCTGCCCTTTAGATGAACACCATCGTTCTCTCCGTAGTCATACCGAGGAAGAGAAAATGATCATTTTTTCAAAGCTTGCTACATTGAAATACGACCATTTCTCCTAGACTTGCATCAACCTTCTCCCCCACGCCCCAAATATTTTTATTTAAAAAAAAAATCAGAAGAATAGATCCAAGTACCCTATAAACTACACCTAGATTACTTGGTTCCAAGGCGAAGGAAAATGGTTACGATTCCAAGACTCACTCGGAAGCCTGGATCTGCAATGCGTAAGCTTTTCGCTGGCAAGATCAGTCAATCTCAGAAAGCATGTAACGTTGACAAGGTTAAGTGGATGAAGATTGAAACAACAAAATAATCAGCTAAGAAACATTTTTTTTTTTTTGCCAAGTAACCATAAAGTAATTTCGGTCCTAAGGAATCCGAGGGCTTTCTTGTTCTGTTGAGGCCAAGAAGCCCTTGCACGATCTAAAGTGCCACCGAGGCGTCGGGGATGGAGAAGACGACGGTTTCTAACGCAGGGCGAGCCCGCGGTCGTCACCCTCGGCACGATCTCACCTTTGGGTGGAAGGTGCGAGGGGAGCAAGGGCTCTCAGCTTCTGCTCGTTTGCTGCAAGGACCCTGGGAGGGGGAGGGGGAGGAGGAAAGGGGCGAAGATGCGTGTCCGCGGTGCAGCCTCGGGACCCTGGGCAGGGATGCGGAGGAGTGGGCGCTTATGTAAGCACACGCAACCCCGTGCGTGCGCCCGGCCCGATGCGCATCGGAGACACAACACACGTACAGGCATCTCCCCGGGGGCGCAGCCCAGCC